CTCTCTATCTCTCTCTCTCTCTCTCTATCTCACTCTCTCTCTATCTCACTCTCTCTCTATCTCACTCTCTCTATCTCTCTCTCTATCTCTCTCTCTATCTCACTCGATCTCACTCTCTCTCTATCTCTCTCTATCTCACTCTCTATCTCTATCTCTCTATCTCACTCTCTCTCTATCTCTCTATCTCTCTCTCTCTCTCTATCTCTCTATCTCACTCTCTCTCTCTATCTCTCTATCTCACTCTCTCTCTCTATCTCTCTATCTCACTCTCTCTCTCAATTCAATTAAGCTTTATTAGCATGACACAATATTGCCAAAGCATTAACATATACAGTATATAACAACAACATAAATAATAATAAATATAATCCATCTAAATAAATGAAAAGATAAAGTAAGTCAGTATGGAGTTAATCATGTTTAACACCTAACATTGTGAATGGTTAACACATATTTAGCAGCTAGTGCAGCTGTGTTGTCATCTTCTCTAGGGGGCGGTAAACTGCACGGTCTTTGTAATGCTTTGCCAGTAATAAGACACAGCCCTTAGATCTGAGATGTATTTTTTTATACATTTCACAAATGAAGCATTTAGATGGAATAATTGTGCTTTTTGCTCTTCGTTTTGCACTTTGCAGTCGGTCCCTATCCTGCACTTTTACATTATACCTTCTATCAGTTACAATACCTTAAGGCAGATTAAAACAAATAAAACACATTGTGTGTTCTCTTCTACATTTGAAAACAATTATAACACATTGTGTCTTCCAAGGATTATGTCCTTGTGCTAAATCGTTAAAGAACTATTGAAGATTTCCGAGGCTGAATCTCTGACAAATGTCAAACCTCAAACGTCGAACCAACTTTATATCGGTGGTTTTTGCAGTGAGAGGAGAACAAACATCCAGCCCTTGTTGTCTTACACCGGATGTGAGTTCAGAAGACTTTACTTTCAGTTTCTGCTTCTGTTTACTGTACAGCAAACCTTCCTGAGTGTCCCATCACAACACACAACTACTTTCAAACTAGTCCGTTGCCTGTTTATAAATCGTTCAAATGCGTTAAAATTATCAGCGTTAATATGATCAGGGATTTAGCTCATTAAAGATTTAATGCAGTTGTTTGCAGTCATTTAAAAAAAAAAAATTGCACCCGTTCAAAGCCATGTTTTTCGTTTTAATTTTAAACGGTTTCTTTTGTGTGTTTTTTTAAATTAATTTTTTATTATTTTTAAATTTTTTTATGGTTGTAATTTTTATTTTGATTAATTGATTAGATATAAATGAGAAATGTTGGCATCGGTCACTCTAATCTGATCTAATTTCAGGTGATGAAAATTGTATACGTTTTTATTTGGAGGTTGTGTGTGTGTGTGTGTGTGTGTGTGTGTGTGTGTGTGTGTGTGTGTTTTTTTTTTAATTGTCAATATTTTAGTGGGTCTTGTGCATCAACACTTTAATGTTGAATTTAAAGGTAGTTCACCCAAAAATGAAAATTGACTCCACACCTGGAGTCTATTCTTCTGTTAGACATATAAAAGAAGATATTTTGAAGAATGTTGCTAACTAATCCATAGCATGGGAAAAAAATACTATGGAAGTCGGTGGAGACCAGAAACTGTTCTACAAAATATCGTCTTTTGTGTTCCGAACAAAGAAACTCATACAGGTTTGAAGCAACTCGAGAGTAAGTAAATAATGACATAATATTTTTTGTGGCAACTCCCCCTTAAAGCAAGAGTAAATATAGTGATGTGCAAGTTTGACGGTTGTGTATCTTTTAAAGGTCAAAGGTGAACCTGTGCTGGTTTGAATGTGGGCTCACACCCTCAATGTGTTACGCAAACAACCTCCGTTATGAAAAACTATGCCGTTTAGTCACATGACAGTTTCACACAATGTTCTGGGCTGTTTAAAGCTTTACAACTGCAAACACCGAACACTCCCCTTATTATGCTGCACTGGAGCGCTGCCTTCTCTCACTTTATTAGACTGATGTGAGCGGACGGACCGTATTATTGAGCGCACATTTGCACACTCCTCACCCTCAGGCCTCGACAGACCTGCCAAATATTCAGAACAACAGGGCCAGTGAACTGAGATGATGATAGCGGACATCTACAGGGCTCCAGACAAAACTCGCTCACAAACTGGACTAGGTTTTGAGATTAGACTCGTATAAGAAAAACGATTAACCCTTTGCTACTCGGAACATCCTATATAGCAGGGACCCTCAAATCTGGCCCACGACACCCACTTTCCTGCAGAGTTTAGCTCTAACCCTAATCAAACACACCTGAGCAAGCTAAGCAATGTGTTCAGGATCATTAGAAAGTCACAGCTAGGTGAGTTTGATCAGGGTTGGAGCTAAACTCTGCAGCGCATTGGCCCTCCAGGGCAAGATTTGAGGAACCCTGCTATATCGGATAGGAGTTAAAATGAGTGCAGAGTTGTAGAAAAAAGTGCATACGTCGGCTAGAATGAAGTGTTAAACTGCAAAGCATTATCCGCTTTTTTTATTTATTTTTTATTTATTTTATGACTGCTCATCACATTAGTGCAAGTGAAATTTTATTTTTCATTTTTCCCCCCCAATTATCACAAGTACATTTAAATCTTTTATGGAGTTATTTACAACTGCGTTTTTAAAATATTTTAAATGCTAATATTTTTAATCACTGTAACTTATGTAATTTTATTCATTAAATTTTTTTTTTTAATTTTTGGCATGTAATAGCCTGTGCTGATCAAGAATGGAACTACAACATTTTCTAATACGTTCACATTTCTGTAACATTTTCCAAAGGTTTTATACTGAAATTGTGTGAACTTGTGCTTTTTCTTTAGTGAAAGCTGGAGGAAAAAGAGTGGCAAAGAAGAGCGCTGATGATAACGCCAATGTGGAGAAAGAGACCAAGAAAGTGGATAAACCCAGGTAGAGTATCTTCTGACCCATCTGGATTCGTCACCGCACGTGACACACATGGTGTAGATGCTAAACTCTGTCTTTCATATCCTGCAGATTAGTTTGAATTGAATTCAGATGTTTTTAAACGCCTCTTCCCTTCTCGTTCAATCTCTCTGGCAGTTTGCTCAATATTTAATGAATATTTTTCATAGAAAATCTGCTGCCTTGAGATGGAATCTCTTGGCCTGCGATGGAATGCAGTGGTTTACTTAAAACCACTGCCACTTAAAGTGGTTTACTTTTTCTTTTTTAAATATTGCATTCTAGTCTGCAACAAAATATCAAAAGTGATTTAAATGCAAAGTTATTATTTATTTGTATTTGTTTATAAGTGACTGCATATCTAAAAAGTGATGCAGAAACATGTTGCTAAAAATGCTTCATTGCTTTGCATGAACTCAATGAATCATGCCGTTGCAAACTGGAAGTGATCATCTCAGTGGCTCTTTTTTATTTTTGTTGCATTCTAGTTGGCACCAAAATATCAAGTCATTAAATGCAAAGTTTTTTTTTCATCTGCTATATATTATTATTTTTATCAATGGTAGTTTTGGACTTGCTGCAGAAATCTAGTGATGAAGCAGAAACGTTGCTAAAGATGCTTCAGCGCTTGAAATCAAGCATGAAATCAATTAACCACTCAGTTTGCAGTGAATTTATCATTGGTGGATTTTTTTAATTTATTTGTGTAAATTTTGCATTCTAGTCCACAACAAAATATCAAAATTGTTTAAATGCAATGATGCATTTTTGTTCATTTATAAGTGGTGTTTAGTCTTACTGCAGATCTTAAAAAGTGAAAAAGCACTTTGCATGAAATCAGTGAATCATGCAGCGTTTCAGACTAATCTTTGTTGTCCAGGTCCGCGCCGACCCCTTCCAGAATGCAGCACATGAGTCTTCTCCTGGCTGGTCCACTTGAGAAGGTTTGTTGCACCATAATAACAAGATATTAATTGCATTGAATGGCAGAGAATGCAATCCCTTAGTGCATTGCCATTTGGATTCTGCTTTAGAAGGCAGAGAGTGTTTAAAATGTAAAGTGAGTTTATGGCAGTAGGTGTCATAACCAGACATAAATGCAGCTTCTGTAGTTTGAAACTGCTTCACAGCTGCTGTGCTGTTTTTCTTTCCTCTGCAGTTTTTAATTGGAGTGTGAGTGGAAAATAGGACATGGATCATTAATTCAGTTTAGTTCAGTTGAGTTTAGTCTAACTAGGATTATTTTCGGAGCTCATGAACCCACTACAGTGATCTGTGAGTGTCTGGATTTCACCTGCAAGTGTCTGAGACTCTCAATCAGTGGCTATCAACTAGTTTGGCTACAAAAGTGGCAGAAGCGTTTGTTAAATACCTTTGGTTTTTGTTATACCAAACTGAAGTCACAGCTAGGCGAGTTTGATCAGGGTTGGAGCTAAACTCTGCAGCGCATTGGCCCTCCAGGGCAAGATTTGAGGAACCCTGCTATATCGGATAGGAGTTAAAATGAGTGCAGAGTTGTAGGAAAAAGTGCATACGTCGGCTAGAATGAAGTGTTAAACTGCAAAGCATTATCCGCTTTTTTTATTTATTTTATGACTGCTCATTGTCATAACCAGACATAAATGCAGCTTCTGTAGTTTGAAACTGCTTCACAGCTGCTGTGCTCTTTTTCTTTCCTCTGCAGTTTTTAATTGGAGTGTGAGTGGAAAATAGGACATGGATCATTAATTCAGTTTAGTTCAGTTGAGTTTAGTCTAACTAGGATTATTTTCGGAGCTCATGAACCCACTACAGTGATCTGTGAGTGTCTGGATTTCACCTGCAAGTGTCTGAGACTCTCAATCAGTGGCTATCAACTAGTTTGGCTACAAAAGTGGCAGAAGCGTTTGTTAAATACCTTTGGTTTTTGTTATACCAAACTGTATTGGTGGTGGTGGTTTGGCTTTTTATTATTAGTTTTTTTTTTTATTGGTTTTGTTACCCGTTTTATATGCAAGGTATTTTATTTGTTTTTATATTAATTTTAATTGTATTTTTATTTTAACTGTTTATTTAATTTATTATTTTATTTTAACTTAAATCAGTTTTATTTAATTTTAAATTTAGTTTTATATTTTATTTAAATGAATTTATAATTGGTTTATCTGTTTATTTATATTTTTAATTGTATCTTTACTATTTGTTGTCATTTTACTTTATTCTAAGTTTTATTGATATTTTTTATTTGATTTGATTGCTATTATTTTATTTCCATTTTAATTTGATTATTATTTTAAAGCTTGGGTTTTAATGAAGTTAAAAATTAAATTGAAATTAGCCACTAAAGCTTGCATGGTGTTAACAAATAAACATCTGGAGATTGATTTAATCATTTGATTAGTCGCATATTAAAGGATTTTTATATATATATATATTTTTTAAAGAAATTAAGTGTTGTATTTGTAATCTCCTGCAGCTGGGTCATGATTTCCCCGAGACTCCAGTTTCTGTGCGGCACAGCAGAGTCAGACCGAGCGTGGAGAAACCTCACGTCCCGCGCATCTCCACCTGCATTCAACAGCCGCGCAAGTTTTGAGCCAAAATAGCTTTCGCTGCTGAGCTTCTGACAACATGACATGCGGAAGACAACCAGTATGTGTTTTTGTAGGTGAATCATTGATGTGACTTGCTAGTAGACTTGTAACAAAGTTACTGTAATGTGACCTCTGATCAGGTTGTTTGTTGTAGCTTTGCAGCTTGGAAGGTTTTTCTTCATGAATAGAGTTTGTGCTTAAGCTGTGTGGAAGATTCATTAACCCAGTGTGAATTAAAGCTGTGCTGTTGGAGAGTTTCAGACTGCTGCTTGACTGATATGAACAAATGTTAATATGCTTGGCACTTAATTGTAGCATGAATACTGAACTTTGTTTTTGAAAATCAATGAAACAAACAGTTTTTCCTACTCCCACACAAGGAGACTTTCATACTAGTAAAATTCACTTTTCCAGCAAATGAAATGTTTGGTTGTAGTTTCATTTCATGACCGTTAGGTGGCGATAGAATCCATTCAGCAGAACCAAGACTTAAATTTGGGTCTTTGCTTTTTTTCTTTCTTTTTTTTTTCCCACATTGCATAACACTTCCTAAACCATACATGCACAAGTAAAATGACAAAAAAATAGCATGCAATTGAATTGAAACACAATTAAAACAAGTGCTACAATAAATCAAACTTTAGATGCTGTAATTTAAAATCAGTATGCTTGTTCTTGTAAGAAAGTGTTTGTACTATATTAAAGCAATTTATCAGATTTGACCAAAAGGGGAAAAAGCTCTGGTCAGGCTCAGACACTTAGAATTTATTTTAGCATATGTACACAGTGACAAAAATGAACTGCATATTCATAAAGAACTAAAGAGACTCATTGAGGAATTGATGGTAAACTTACACAAGGATGTTAAAGGAATAGTTTTCCCAAAAATCAAAATGCTGACCCTCGAGACATCAGTTTGTTTTTTTCATCAGATTTGGAGAAATCCAGCATTCCTTCACTTGCTCAGCAATGCATCATCTGCAGTGAATGGGTGCCGTCAGAATGAGAGTCCAAACAGCTGATAAAAACGTCACAATAATCCACAGCACTCCAGTCCATCAGTTAACATCTGGAGAAGACAAAAGCTGTGTGCCTGTAAGAAACAAATCCATCAAGACGGTTTAAAGTTCAAATTGTTATTTCTGACTAAAATGTGAGTCCATAATGCTTCCCTCAGTGGAAAAAGTCATCTGAATCCGGAGAGATCTGCACTGTTTACAAGCCAAAACAGCTCTAAACACATGATCGTGATGTGAGAGACAACGGGAGATGTTTCACTGGTGGAAACGTTATTATGGAAAAGTATTTTGGTTTGAAGCAATGGTTTTAAGTTAAAATGCTTAATGACTGATTTGTTTCTTACAAACACCGCTTTTGGCTTTTCAAGACATTAACTGATGGACTGGAGTGGTGTGGATTATTGTGATGTATTTGTCAGCTGTTTGGACTCTCATTCTGACGGCACCCATTCTGGTGAGCAAGTGATGTAATGCTACATTTCTCCAAATCTGATGAAGAAACAAACTCATCTACATCTTGGTAAATCAGTAAATTTTCAGTTTTGTCTGAACTATTCCTTTGAATACATATTTGATGGGAAATGTTACAGTACTGTGACCCTTGATGTGCTTTAATCTTTGCTGACGTTTCTCATAAAGCATGAGTTTATGGCTTTGTCTAATGTGACGTTTCTCAAGGAAGGCGAGCCAAAGTCTCTGGCCGTGACATGAAGCGCTCTGTGAAGAAACACTGCGTGTGGGGCTTTGAGCTGTCAGTGTGATGAGCGCTGGAGGAAGTGTGTTGTATATTTAGGCGTCTAACGCAGACAGCACAAAAGAGCCCCTATTGAGGGTGTGAACATGCCAAATGCCAATATTGAGAGCGTGTTCGAGTCTCAAACATACTGGAAGGATAAAGACAAGAAGGGAGGATCATAAACACTATCCATTCAAGTTCGGACATGCTTGACTGAATTTGTTGCTCGTAATCACAAAAAACTTTTGATCTGAAGGTTTCTGGTAAGATGCTTAAAATTAGTTTGTTGAGAAATATAAATGTTGTCTATGAATGCATTGTACAATTATTGTTATGACACTTAAGCATGTTTCACCTAAAAACAAAAATGTATAGACTTATTAAAACCTTGCTGGGAATAAAGGAAACTACAGTAAGTACTCTAAATATGGTCATAAAAATAGGCTATAAAAAAACAATTAAGGGTTAAGATTTTAAAATAAGGTTACTTTTAGATAATTCAATTAAACTTAAAAAACAAATTAACAATGCACACACAATTAGGCATCATTTTCTTTATGTGAAACATAAGATAAAAAATATATAATAATAATAATATCACATTTTCTTTTGATTTTGTAATAAAATAGCCAGATGCTTTTCTGAGATTTTTCTCTTTTTCTTTATTTCTTGTTCTTTGCAAAAAATAAATATCCCTCTACACTTAAAAATAAAGGTTCTTTATTGGCATTCTATGAAGAACCTTGAACATCCATGGAACCTTTCAAATGCAGAAAAGTTTCTTTATAGTGCTAAAAGGTTCTTTAGATTTTTAAAATAGTTCTTTTACGAACTATTCACTGAAAGGTTCTTTTGGGAACCAAAAATGGTTCTTCTGTGGCATCACTGAAAAAACAAAAAGAGTGTATGCCTTGTTCCATTCTTGATTTGAGCTAATATGGATTCAGACTGGTTATGTTGATATCAGATGTAATGCAAATGATCCACGTTTACCTGTATGTGGATTAGAGACGCACACACACATTCCCAGCATGCACAGGGATTAAAGGCAATGCCTAGCGTGAGTGCTTAGAAATATCCCGCAAATGAATCCAGAGACTGATTCTAATGCTGATATATTTCACATCACAGCTTGTTTTGCATTCATGTATTTTTATGAAGCATATTCCAGTCTCATTGTCCTCGGTGAGCTGCTTTCTAACAAAAGTGCATTTGTTTTTTATAGTCAAGTAAGTACCTGGGTTACCCTATGCTGAGTTTCCAATATTCAACAAATCCAGCTACAGCATGAAACCTGTACTCATGAAGCATCTTCATCTTTTCAGAGTGATTGTCTATGTCCAGAATGGAATTCAGCCTTAACATGCCAGTCTAATGAAATGAGTCAGAAAAGAGATGCCGAAAATCACTGCTGGATATTACTTTAAATTCATGTCACACTGAAAATAGAAAGTCAAGTTGTATTGCATTGTATTGAGGAATTCAGTATTTTATGCACATTTTGGCAAATGTATGAATTTACTGCATGCATAGAAAAAATGCATATACTGTGAATTTCACAGTATGAATAGTATGCTATTGCAAATATTGATGTACTGAAACGCAAGGTTCGGCCTTTTAGTTTACACTATGATTTTCTACTTTTAAAGTGGAAAGCATGTACTCGGCTAACAAAAATATATTCTAAGAACATTTTGCAGTAAGTTATGAAAACAGTATTTCTGAATGTTCTCTGAACGTTCAAAATGTCCAGTTTCTGAAATGATTTAAAAATGTTTGGTTATGCGAACAATAAGGGAACATTCCGTTTGCAATCATTATGGGAGCGTTACATTTCAAAATTCTCTGAACATTCTGAAACAAGTAACATTTAAAAAATAAAACTAAATGTTTCAGAAAAAATACTTTCCATGAACAATGAATACATAATGTTTTTGTGCTAACATCGTAAGAGACCAGACAACTTTGAACAAATGTTATCATCGTTATGGAAGGATGTTGATAGAACTTTGACAGAACGTTTTGAGCACGTTCCCTGTTAGCTGATGAAAATCTCAGAGCTAAAAGACAAGGACTGAAAGCCACACACTCTCATTTTGATTTCATGGGCCCTTTAATGTGATCTAACCATGTGTTTAACATCTTTCAGAACTCTTAGATGTGTGCTTCTTTAACGTTACACATTACACAAGCAGTGTTTGTTAGGAGAAGCCTTCATGTGGGAACTCCACCACATCACAAATCATCTCAGTCAGCAGCTGTTGAGCAGAGCAGCACAGCAGCTAATTCACATTCACCGTCACAGACACGATCATCAGACCTGGACCAGAGCCACTGGATGCCCACAACAGGTAGGGGTGTGTGTGTGTGTGTGTGTCTGTGTGTCTGTCTCTGTGTGTGTGTGTGTGTGTGTGTGTGTGTGTGTGTCTGTGTCTCTGTCTGTCTGTCTCTCTGTGTGTGTGTGTGTGTGTGTGTGTGTGTGTGTGTGTGTGTGTGTTGGTTATAGATTACAGCAGGATGATCACATACACACTGCATGCTGTTGGAATTACTCAGACTCAATGTCTGCTTGACAATAGGTTGATGTACAGAATCAGAGCCGGTACAAAAAGTCTTTTCAGTGTTGTAAATAAAGATTAATGGAGAACATTTAACAAGAAAATACCATTGCAGCACTTCATTTTCACCTACTTCAACTTAAAAACTGAAGTTCAGTCAGTGCATGAAGTGTTTAAGTATAATCAGTTATTTCAACAAATCATATTAAAGTGACTTAAAAATGTAGTTGAATCTTGTATAACTTAAATATATTCAAAATTAAGTTGAAATCGGGTAAATTAATTTGATTAATAATGGAAAAACATGTTGACATTATATATATATAATTTTTTACAGTGTAATGTCATTAATTATTTTTGAAATTCACTAGCAATTTCTGAGTATATCCTACACCAATTTTTTTTCAGCATATAAGGTATTTCCTGAAACATTACATAATATTAATGATCAAAGGTTAAAATGACCCCTATAAACATTTGTACTTAATGTGTATACATTTCATTTTATTAAAATTTTTTTGCACAACAGAATGTTCAAAAGAACAGCATTTTTCTGAAATAAAAAGCTGTTGTAACACCACCGTTCAAACGCTGGGGTCAGTGAGAATTTTATTATTATTATTATTTATTTTATTTGAGAGAAATGAAAGAAATTGATGATTTTATTCAGCAAGGATGCATTGAACTGATCAAAAGTGACATTAAAGACACTTAATAATGTTACAAATGCATTTTATTTCAGATAAATGCTGTTCTTTTGAACTTTGTAAATTGCATACACAACTGAGCATTTTCAACATTGATAATAATCAGAATTGTTTCTTGAGCAGAAAATCAGCATATTAGATTGCTGTCACCTGCAGGTAAAGGATTCATAGGTTTGCAATAGCTCTCTCTACCAGATGGTGTCAGCATTGAGTTAATTCCTAAAAAACACATTCATATTATCGCACACTCGGGCTAAGAGCATATCCAGTTCACTTTGAATTGTAATTACAACCTCTCATTATTACAAACATCTGCAGGACAGCCGCTGTGGAGATCTGGCTCTATTTTAGACTCACCACATGAGTGAATCCCCACAGGATCCCGCTAAAGCTCCTGCATTCACCCTGTGCACTGGAACGGCAAAGGTCAAACTGCATTAAAGACTTCATCACATCCACTGCCAGCCAGAACCTCAGGAACAGCAGTTAGATTTGCCATAGGATTCATATGGTTCTGCTTCCAGGGCTCATTTCTGGCTGACTAAACATTTTCCAAAACACAAGATTAAATGTAGTTCTTTTTTTAAAGAAAAGAAAGTCTCAATTTTGCACTCTTTAACCAGGCACCACCTCTTTTGGTTCTTTAGGGTACAGTCTGCACCTGAATGTCCTCATAAAGTTCAGGAAAGTTGGCTTTAGATCTGAGAGACCCCAAGGCCGTTTAATAGGTCAAACATAAGTCATTTTGAGATTTGGGGGTATTTTGCTTTCACAACATTGTTTCAGACTACTAGTGGACATCCAAATAGTGTTTATTTTATTGCACTTTATCTATTTGTGTTTGTATTTTTCAATTACAATACAAATCTTTTAAGGCTGTTTTCTCAGAATGAGTTTTTTCTTTTCATTTTCATAGACCAAACTTAATTCATATCTATATTCTAAGGGTTTTTAGACACCTGCTACATATTTACAATTGTATTCCTAAAACATATTGAATTTTCTTTCCTGGCTGTTGACAATATTTTCTGGAGTGATAAAAAGAGATATCAAACAACAACAAAACCTTTAACGCTAATATGTAAACAAAATAAAACAAGAATTCTGGTTTTATCCAATATTCAGATTTCCATATGCAAATGCCATATTTAATTAGATGACACATAATTTACATATTTAAACATAACATAAAACTTGTTCTAACTAACCTGTTTTCTATTATTTATTATTTGAGCCTATTCCTGTAGTCTTGCCTTAACATTAAAGTAGGAGAACTGATTATATTGATAATGTAATTTTGATAACTGTAAATTTAAGTTTTATGAGGTCTCAGAGACACTAGTTATGTTTCTGAAAAGCGCATGATTACTTTGTGATGATTAAAACTTTAAAAGTTTTGATTAGGACTGAGAAAAGAACTTGAAGGGAAATAAGAGGTTAAGTTTTAAACAAATCACTGGATTCGAGAAGGGGATAGTCTGTGACAACTTACCCCATATAACAGATACAGAATACAGAAAAATGTCATATTGATTAACTGCGGTGAAAAGTGAGAAAGCTAGTTAGTGTGGCATTGTTTTCCTGTTCAGAATCCTGTTCCTATTACTTGTTTCACTTCTGTTTCAGTTTTTTTATAACCATTTCTTACTATGTGTCAGTAAGTTGTTGTTATTTTAGCATGTGTGTTATATGTATATATAGTGTTTATAGAGTTTTAGCTTTTAGTTTTAATGACTTTTTCTTATTTGTAAAAGCGTCTGCTAAATGACTAAAAGTAAAATGTAAGAATCAGTGTTGGGTAAGGTTAGATTAGATTATATTTAGATATAAATATATTAGTTTTTATATTATATATTTATATTATTTTATAATCTAAATATAGATTATATTTAGATTATAACGTTTTTATTTTAAAGCACAGACACCACAGAATTAGACTTTAGCACATCTTTTTTACTTTGAGATCATTCTGAGGTTAAATCCAGATTTAAAATCAAAACAAAATACAGTAGTTTAATATCAGTGATACTGTTCTGAAATCAAATCTTTGCATAGCTATGACAGGAAACACATGCTAACAATGCTTTTGGGGGAAAAAAAACAGTTAATCTAAAAAATAAAGTATATAGCCTACATAAACCCAATTAGAAAACAAAACAGTTCTAGGTGTCCTGTGTCCTAAACTCCTCAAACATTGGTTGGTGTCTCATATATTACAGAGCAGTCAATGCTATTTGAAAAAGAAAACAATCAAATCTGTATATGTGTGAAAATATTCAGATACGACCCCTTTTGTAATCGTTAACATTTTCATAAGTAACTGTAATTTATTTAGGCTACACTTTTTTCCCCTCAGTAACTGTAACAGATTACAGTTACATTTATTTTGAAATTAAAGTACGCTATATGTAACTAGTTACTCCCCAGCACCAGTGTTGGGGGTAATATATTACAAGTAACGCAAGTTACGTAATCAGATTATTTTTTCAAGTAACGAGTAAAGTAACGCATTACTTTTTAATTTACAAGAGAATATCGGAGTTACTTTTTCAAATAAGTAACAATTTATTGATTGGCAGCTCTGCTGTCCCCATGTTGAGAGAAATCAGATGTTACTGTAGCTCTAAAATAAATATGAATATGCATTAATTAATCTCACTCACACACAAAACACAGATTCAGTATTCCTCAAAATGAATAAAAATAATGCAACTCAGAATATGACGCAAACCTGCAATAATTAAATGTTAAACAACACAAATATGCTTTATGTATTTAATCCCATTCTATTTGCTTCTGACCTTATGATCCAGTTCAAGCGTACTAATAAGCACAAATTACATTTGTGTGTTTTTTTTATTGCTGAAGTGTTGAAATGTCTTCTTCTGCATTCTACTGTACATTCCCTTCAGCCTGAGGCGCATTCATTTCCCTTTAGGTGTGAAAAGCTTTTATATTTGCCAAAAATATAACTTTTT